TGCTTAGTATATGTGTGTATATATGTCGTATATATATATGGAGGAAGAGCAAAAGTTCAGGACGGCCAATACAGAATGAGAGGAAGAGTAACAGGAAGTGAGGTCAGGGAGGTGAAAGGTTAGGTTGTACAAGGCTAGGAGGTGACTGTAAGAAGGTCTTTAAGGAAATGAGAGGCCATTAAAGGGATCCAAGTGAAGGAACCGCACAGGCTGATTTAGCAATGATCCCTTCCGGTTACGATGTGGAGAACACTCCAGGATGGTAAGGGCTAAACCTGAGCAGCGAATCCCGCACCGGTGCACGAGCCCCAAATCACCCCGACGCCTGGCGAACGTGACGCTGCTGTTTGAGCCTGGGAGGAGCCAACCGGGAAAGGTGTGCAGAAGAATGGGAAGTTTGCTTTTAGAGTTGCCTATCTGACATCCACGTACATGTATGCGAGTGGGCAGGTCAGTTAGATGTGGGAATCCAAGTTTAAGAGGCAAAGGGAAGCCTGCTGTGGTGGCACAGACCTGTAAATACAGCACTCGGGAAGCTGAGACAGGAGGATGGGAAATTCAACATCAGCCTGCTCTGTAGGGAGAGTCTGTCACAAAAACAACAGGGAAACCCAGCCCTGGTGGCACATGCATGTAACCCCAGCACTCGGGAGGTGGAGGCAGGAGGACCAACATTTTAAAGATCTTCAGCTACATACTGAATTTGGGGCCATCCTGTGTCAAATCTGTGAAACTTAGGAAGAAAAGACGGGGTCAAACTGAGTCCTGAGACATACAGGTCGGGAAGCTGAGGAAATTTCGGAGTCTGTGAAAGACGGGATGACAAGATGGGAGAATCAAGAGCACAGTGTTCTAGAAGCTCAGTGAACAATGAAATTCAAGCTTTTCCAGTATGCACGTTTACCCAGTCAACAAACACTGAATGTTTATCATGTGTCGGACACTGAAAATAAACATAGTCTCTGCTCTTATGGAGACTGCAGTACAAAGAGGGCAGGCCTCAACAGAGCAGCGAGCACCATTCCCAGTAAAACACTGTTTCCTAGTAATGCACCAGAGGCAACTCAGCCAGTCCTGGAGAGTCAGAGATTTCCCTAGAAACTGATTTGAAAGAAAAGAGTAGAATGATCAGTGAAAATCAATAGGGCAGGGAGCAGGGTGGGCGGGGAAGGAGAGCACTTGTGAGGCACTGAGAAAGAAGCCAGATGTCCACAAACCTGGAAGTTCAGTTAGAGGAAACATTGAAAGAACGAATGGGGAAGAGAGGAGAGAGAAGAGAGAAGGCTGACTCCAACAACTGAAGTCATTTATGATGGAGCTCTGGAAGGAGTCAGGGACAGACAGGTTGAGTTGTTGGGAAGCACCTTAGGAAGCCTGTGGTAGTGGTGATATGGAACGGAGACTTAACAGAACTTCAGATATGAGAAAACAGAGGGGCCAAGATGATGGCCTAGTTTTTGACCTAGACAAGTAAGCAGACAGTAACACTACTAAGAGAAGCAGCACAGAAGGGGGGGGGGGGCGCACTGGCAGAGTGCTATTCTGAAACAGTGCTCATTAAAGAGGGAAAAGAGGTCAACTCTAAAATCTGGAAGATAGCTATAGACTGGGAGTCACTGATGTATAGATTAAAGTCAGAGGAAAATGTAAAATAAAGCCCAGGAATGTAGGAGAGAGAGGAGTGGGGTGGGAAGGGGCTGGCTCTGGTTTACACTGCTGTGAAGTGGGCAAACAGAAGAACCCTAGGAAAAGGCAAGAAGAGAGAGAGAGCCTGAGAAGGACGAACCTGCAACGTGCACTATTATAAAAAGTGATCAAAGCAAGACCATACAGTTCACACCCAGAAAAACACCCTGCACAGCTGTTCACAGTTGTTTCACTCCCAACCGACAGATATTTTTCATCAGCCACAAATATATTTCAGTTGCAGGTAGCCTCAGCCTAAGTAAAGAAGCAAGACCCCAAAGTGAGGTAAGATAATTAGTAATACGTTACAAGAATTAGTAATTAGTAACAAGAATAAAGTTGTTAAAAATGCTATTACTGGATGATGCTAGGGCTACAGATTAGAAAGGAAAATCTGTTTAAAAAGAAGGGGGGGGGTCAATGTGCTCTACAAAGCTGAAGACAAGTTTTCACTTCTTTGGTTTAAATAAAACAAAACAAGCTAAACCCTGACGGCTGAGGCTAGCTGATACAGAAGAGGGTGATGGATGTATCACCGAGGATTCAGTCTATGTAAAACAGCTACAAGCAGAGTTATTCAAAACTTGCTATGATCCCCCCCAACACACACAGAGTTCAGGGTGATGGAAACTAATATTGAAAAGCACATCTTTAGAGCTCCACGGTGGCCCTTGACTATAATTCCACACTTGGGAAGCTGAGGCAGGATAACTGCTTTGAGTGTGAGGTCAGCATGGGCTACGTAACAGGAGGCTATAGAAGGGAAGGAAAGGGAAAAAGAAGGGGAAAAGGCAAGGAAAGGAGATGGGCGGGGAGGGGAGGGAAAAGGGAAGGGGAAAAAGAGGAAGAAGGGGAAGGGGAGGAAGGGGAGGAAGGGGAAGAGGAAGACCACAAATCTAGATGCTGAGTGTGCGTGTGAACACATCTTCTGCTACCTTACTGTGTAAGGCCAAGACGCAGCAGCATGTATCACATACTTCCCTAAGCTATGAGCACAGTTGGTCATTTTTTTTTTTTTTTGGTCTTTCAATATGGTTTTAAGAGAGAGTACCTATATTAATATACTTATCAACACAAGCGACTTATAATATTTGATATGAACAAGAAATCTCCATTTAAACAAAGCGCCAGACCTTATTATCCATAGGACATGGTGCCAACTGAATTTCTATACTGATTTCTTCTGTCTCACAAAGTTGGGAATTTTGACTGATTAAAGCACTATGACCAAGATATATATACACTTGTTTCTTGCTTCATTAAAAGCATACGTAAATGTATTATTCAAACACATTCAGGAATACAGCTAGTGGTTTTTCGTTTCCAAATGACGACATATTATAAAATACTTCTAAAAAAATTAAAAACAAATATTAATACAGTATTCAGTGACTTAAATATTTATCAACCCAAACTAATCCATTAGCAGCTCTTTTTCCAGCACATAATCACAAGACATGCATCAGAGGTGCCAGATAAATTCACGTCACAGCTAAACAGAGGCAATAATTACATAGTTCCTCTCACTCCCCACCTGCAGCTCTGGAGATGTTTTCAGAAGCAAAGGATCTAAGAATATCTAGTCTTTCAAAAGTGACACCGGTATTAGTTTAACATGTCAAATATAAGTACTCTTGCAATGAGTAAAATGCAGGCAATATTATTTCTTCATTCCCAGCTAGAAACAATATAGCCAAGCCAGCAAAAACAGCCAAATGAAGATAAATTTCACAGCCCCTAAAAAAATATACCTGCCACTGTTAATAAAAGCAAGTGTACAGCTAACCTGAAGCACACACTGCTTTCTAGCCAAGGGCAAGGTGTACGTAAATTCTTGAAGAATTTACCCCTTAAATGACAAATATGTATATACATATATACACACACATATATATCAAATAAACGTTAGTTCTTGCAAATGTAATGCAAGCCGCATGCTAATTAAAGTGTTCACAAGACAATGACAAACAAGGCTTTGGGACTACAGCACATGTTATTATGTAACTACAACACCCATTAAGCAATCACCAGGTTGTAGGTAAGGCCTTCCAAAAGGCGTTATTATGGTTTACCGTGATCAGAGGGTTGTGGCGTTAGACTTAATCATGCTTTACCTGCAAGCACCTGTTTACAGATGTCAAAAAGTAGAATACTGATACTAAATGTAAACCCGAGGTTCTGCCAAATAAATTGTGTAGCTATACACAGTATGCCCCGGCCCCATTTTTCTGCACAAGCTTTCAATTCCCACGAAGGAATCTGCATGAAGCAAGTTTTTCTGCATGCTTTATGGACTATAATTTAACTTCTGATTCAAATTTATTAAAATGCTCCATTTCACACTTTAAACTAGACATGTTTCAAGGACCATGGAGTGAAAATTTATACTAAACAGATGAAAGAGAGACAGTGAAGGCTCCCTCACTTGGGGTTATTGGCCCCATTGCTGACATCTCCATAAAAACACAGACATCTCAAAAGCAAAGTTGGAAGGGTAACCCTGTTGAAGACCCTCAGCGAGCAAAGTACAGAAACTCTACAAAACAAAGTCAACACTGTATACCCACAGAAGAAGCTCCAGTACACCCATCTCCAAATACTAAGAGAAGAAAGAACAAGACAGGAGACAGCAGGGCAAGCGGGTGCCACAAATAAAGGTGTCCTATGAATTCTGTTCAAAACCAATTCAGGAACTTGGAGGAAATTCTTCCCAGCCCTTGTCAATAAGTCAGATTGGGCAGCAGTGCGAGCCACCTGACACCCTACAAGCAGGTCAGAACCCTGCGCAGCAGAGGAGGCCGCACAGCATAAATAAAAGAAAAGCAAAGCGAGATTTTCAGGGAGTTGGAGTTTCAACACTGCAGGCGTTTTCCACCGCTAGCCTCACCTGTCCTCAGGAAGACTTCTTTTCCCACCCTCTGCAGCCATAGGCACCACCAGTGGCCAGGACCAGCATTGGGCTCCGCCAGCACCATGCACACCGGCTGCCCTCTCCTCCCCATGGCCAATTCTGGACACACACAGGAGTTACATCAAGCAGCCCAGCCTGCAGAAGGCTGGAGGACCGCGGACTGAAGGGAAATGGATACTGGAGAGCACTAGAGATGGAAACGGAGACCAAGACATTTCAAACAGTGACGCTCCTGCAAATCAATCACTGGAAATCCCTAGAAACAAAAATAGGTCAGGCTCCACCTCGCTCCCGGTCAGCTGGGCCGCTGCCACCAACCAGCTGGGCATCCCCAAGAAGCCCCCTGAGCGGCTCAGTGGCCAAGGACCCACACTCTCCAGGCACAAGCCGCCGCCCAGCTTACCTCGCAGGCTTTGAGTTTGTCACCATCTCCCTCGGGCAGACCAGTCCAATGTGTGGCCATCATTTCATTTCAAACTGCAAAGGGACAAATCCTTTGGAGTCCACATTGGAGGAGTGCCAGCGCGCACAGAAAGGGGACGATTCCACGGCAGGCTCTGGGGGGATGCAGGGCAGGGGCGGGTGAAAGCACCTGCCAGGTAAGGAAGATGCGCAGGAGGCCCCTTCAAAGGCCGTCTCCAACAGACTTCGAATTCTACATTTCTCCAGACTTCAAATTCCAGGGGCGACAGGTTTCCTGGGAAGGTGGGAGAGAGGCCAGGTGCTGAGGGAGGTCCACTTCCACGCGGGGGCTACTCGAGGCCAAGGAGAGCCTGGATCAGCTCCTGGGGAGCTCTTCCTAGAAAAGGGAGAAGTTAAAGGCCATGAACTTTCTCCAGGTGCCGATCTTTAGCCTAGTGCCCCAAGTCGACAGCAAGTTCGTCTGGCTGACAATCAAAGGATGGCTCGGTCCAAGAAGCCGAACCGTGCATATGGAAGAAACAAACCCTGCGCGCAACCCATTTAAAAGGGGGGAAAAAAAGAAGCGGCCTGGGCAGCTGGGAGGGAGAAACCCTCTGAAGTGCCCGGGGGGCCGTGTCCAGCGCACAAGGCTGCAGCAGGGAAGCCATCCGCGGGGACCGCGCGTTCCGGGGACTCCTCAGGGAGCTGGGAAGAGAGCGAGTGCTCCGCCCGCCGGGTGCGCACGCCCGAGAAGGGACGGCTTCCAAGCGCCCTCCGCGCTCGCCTCCAACGCTCCCAAAAGCAAACAAAAAGCCAGGCCGGGCCGGGTCGGGCAGGGCGTGGGCTCCCGCGTCTCGGGCCTCCGGGGCCGCCCGTGGCACCCTGCCCTGGGCCCCGGAGGCGGCAGCTGGGCGCCCCGGCAGTCGGCGGGGCTGAGTGGGAAGCGCCGTGCCGGGCCGCTCAGGGCGGGCAG